GCATACAGGACTTCCATGACCAACAGAACACACTGGAAGGGTTTGGTGGGCATTGACCTTGAGTTTGGGAATTATAGTTCACCCACATCCAGAGAGCACTGTGGACTCAAACAATGATGGATCTGGACCAAACTTGGCACGGATATTCCATATGCCCAAATATGAACACAGATGGAGTTTAAGGGAAATAGACCTTGACATTTGGGAGTTGTAGTTGCTGGGATTTATAGTTCACCTACAATCAAAGAGCATTCTGAACTCCACCAATGATGGAATTCAACCAAACATGGCATACAGGACTTCCATGACCAACAGAACACACTAGAAGGGTTTGGTGGGCATTGACCTTGAGTTTGGGAGTTGTAGTTTGTGGGATGAACAGAACTCAAAACCACTGGACGAATTGACACCAAATTTGGACACAAGACACCTAACAACCCTATGTATGTCCTTCGCTCCCATTTTGTCATTTGGGAGTTGTAGTTGCTGGAATTTAATCGAAGTGCATTCTGAACTCCTCCAACGATGGAATTGAAACAAACTCAGCACACAGGACTCCCATGACCAACAGAAAACACTAGAAGGGTTTGGTGGGCATTGACCTTGAGTTTGGGAGTTGTTGTTCACCTACATCCAGAGAGCACTGTGGACTCAAACAATGATGGATCTGACCAAACTTGGCACGAATATTCCATATGCCCAAATAACACAGATGGAGTTTAAGGGAAATAGACCTTGACATTTGGGAGTTGTAGTTGCTGGGATTTATAGTTCACCTACAATCAAAGAGCATTCTGAACTCCACCAATGATGGAAGCACACAGGGCTCTCATGACCAACAGAAAAAACTGGAAAGGTTTGGTGGACATTGACCTTGAGTTTGGGAGTTATAGTTCACCTACATCCAGAGAGCTCTATGGACTCAAACAGTGATTGATCTGGACCAAACTTGGCACAATCACTCAATACTGCCAAATATGAACACAGGTAGAGTTTGGGGAAAATAGACCTTGACATTTGGGAGTTGTAGTCACTGGGATTCACAGTTCACCTACAATCAAAGAGCATTCTGAACTCCACCAATGATGGAATTGAACCAAACATGGCACACAGGACTCCCATGACCAACAGAAAACACTAGAAGGGTTTGGTGGGCATTGACCTTGAGTTTGGGAGTTGTTGTTCACCTACATCCAGAGAGCACTGTGGACTCAAACAATGATGGATCTGGACCAAACTTGGCACGAATATTCCATATGCCCAAATATGAACACAGATGGAGTTTGGGACAAATAGACCTTGACATTTGGGAGTTGTAGTTGCTGGGATTTATAGTTCACTTACAATCAAAGAGCATTCTGAACTCCACCAATGATGGAATTGAACTAAACTTGGCACACAGAACTCCCATGACCAACAGAAAATACTTAAGGCCATCCAATCCAACTCCCTTCATCAGGGCAAGAAAACGTTTATAAAGCTATTGTCATCCCAACCCTGCTATACGCCTGCAAGATGTGGACTGTCTACAGACATCAACATTGACACTGAAATACAACACCGCCTGAGCTCCGCAAGTACAGCATTTTTCCAAATGAAGCAGAGAGTGTTTGAGGACCTGGACATCGGTAAGGATACCAACGTGCTTGTTTATAAAGCTATTGTCATCCCAACCCTGCTATACGCCTGCGAGACGTGGACTGTCTACAGACGTCAACATTGACACTGAAACACAACACCGCCTGAGCTCTGTGAGTGCAGCATTTTTCCGAACGAAGCAGAGAGTGTTTGAGGATCTGGACATCAGTAAGTATACCAAGGTATACCAAAGCTATTGTCATCCCAACCCTGCTAAATACCTGCAAGATGTGGACTGTCTACAGACGTCAACATTGACACTGAAACACAACACTGCCTGAGCTCTGTGAGTGCAGCATTTTTCCGAACGAAGCAGAGAGTGTTTGAGGACCTGGACATCGGTAAGGATACCAAGGTGCTTGTTTATAAAGCTATTGTCATCCCAACCCTGCTATACGCCTGCAAGATGTGGACTGTCTACAGATGTCAACACTGACACTGAAATACAACACCGCCTGAGCTCTGTGAGTGCAGCATTTTTCCGAATGAAGCAGAGAGTGTTTGAGGACCGGGACATCAGTAAGTATACCAAGGTATACCAAAGCTATTGTCATCCCAACCCTGCTAAATGCCTGCAAGATGTGGACTGTCTACAGACGTCAACATTGACACTGAAATACAACACCGCCTGAGCTCTGCGAGTGCAGCATTTTTCCGAATGAAGCAGAGAGTGTTTGAGGACCGGGACATCAGTAAGTATACCAAGGTATACCAAAGCTATTGTCATCCCAACCCTGCTAAATGCCTGCAAGATGTGGACTGTCTACAGACGTCAACATTGACACTGAAATACAACACCGCCTGAGCTCTGCGAGTGCAGCATTTTTCCGAACGAAGCAGAGAGTGTTTGAGGACCGGGACATCCATAAGGAGACCAAGGGGTTTGTTTATAAAGCTATTGTCATCCCAACCCTGCTATATGCCTGCGAGACGTGGACTGTCTACAGACGTCAGGTTTACAGGGATTGAGGAATCTTGTTTAGATACAGTTCTTAGTCTAAGTTTTGTAGATTTTGGCTTTACTGTCAGTGCAGGACTTTGTTTATTGCAGCCTCAAGAATACTATGTTTTGGAATGACTTTTGAAGCGTACACTTTGGTTTTGGACTTTTACGTATACCTTGGAAATAATTTTGCACTCTTTAACTTGGAATGTATTGTCACAGTGTGAAACCTCTGTTTCACACTGATGGTTTCCCTTGACTCCATGGTGCTGAACAATTTCAGACCGATCTCCAACCTCCCTTTCTTGGGTAAGGTGTTGGAGCGGGTGGTTGCCTCCCAGCTCCAGGGCTTTTTAGATGACATCAACTACCTAGATCAGTCACAGTCTGGTTTCAGGCCTGGTCACGGCACCGAGACAGCCTTGGTCGCCTTGGTGGATGACCTCCGTAGAGAGCTGGACAGGGGGAGTGTGACTCTGTTGGTTCTCTTGGACATCTCAGCGGCTTTCAATACCATCGATGATGGTATCCTTCTGGGACGACTCTCCGGGATGGGTCTCAGGGGCACGGTTATGTCGTGGCTCCGGTCCTTCCTGGAGGGTCGATCCCAGATGGTGAAGCTGGGAGACGCCTGCTCGGACCCCTGGCCTTTGACCTGTGGGGTCCCGCAAGGCTCTATTCTGTCTCCCATGCTTTTTAACATCTACATGAAACTGCTGGGAGAGGTCATCCGGAGTTTTGGAGTTGGGTGCCATCTCTATGCAGATGACACACAGCTCTACTACTCCTTTCCATCTAACTCCAAGGAGGCCTCTCGGGTGCTGGATGAGTGCCTGGCCGCTGTGTCTATCTGGATGAGGAGGAACAAGCTGAAGATCAATCCCGACAAGACAGAGGTCCTCCTGGTCGATCGTAAACCTGACCGGAGTATAGGGTGGCAACCTGTGCTGGACGGGGTTACACTCCCCCTGAAGCCACAGGTCCGCAGTTTGGGAGTCCTCTTGGATTCTGCCTTGACAGAGCAGTACGTGTGAAAAAGACCTTGGAGTCCTCGTGGACAAGTTAAACATGAGCCAACAATGTGATGTGGCAGCAAAAAAAGCCAATGGGATTTTGGCCTGCATCAATAGGAGCATAGTGTCTAGATCTAGGAAGTCATGCTCCCCATGCTCTCTTCTGCCTTGGTTAGACCACACCTGGAATATTGTGTCCAATTCTGGGCACCACAATTCAAGAGAGATATTGACAAGCTGGAATGTGTCCAGAGGCGGGCGACTAAAATGATCAAGGGTCTGGAGAACAAGCCCTATGAGGAGCGGCTTAAGGAACTGGGCATGTTGAGCCTGAAGAAGAGAAGGCTGAGAGGAGATATGATAGCCATGTATAAATATGTGAGAGGAAGCCACAGGGAGGAGGGAGCAAGCTTGTTTTCTGCTTCCTTGGAGACTAGGACGCAAACAATGGCTTCAAACTACAAGAAAGGAGATTCCATCTGAACATTAGGAAGAACTTCCTGACGGTGAGAGCTGTTCAGCAGTGGAACTCTCTGCCCAGAGTGTGGTGGAGGCTCCTTCTTTGGAAGCTTTTAAACAGAGGCTGGATGGCCATCTGTCAGGGGTGATTTGAATGCAATATTCTAGCTTCTTGGCAGAATGGGGTTGGACTGGATGGCCCATGAGGTCTCTTCCAACTCTTTGATTCTATGATTCTAGGGGGGAAAAGCACTCTGTTGGCTGTTGTATTGGATCACACGTCAGACCCTTCCCAAGTGTCTAGGACTGTGTGATGTATCAGCGAATAATGTGTGCAGATCCCAGTAAGATGGTCTTTTGCAGCTGATAGGTAGTGATTTGGTCAGCGCTGATTGTGTATTATTATTATTGTTGTTGTTGTTATTATTATTATTTGTAGTAGCATCATATACACAAAAGATTCAAAGTATTTATGTATGTTTAATCTGCTGTTATCAGTACTAGTCCACACCTCCTGCATTCCAGAGTGACGTATGACGTCACTACCCCAGAGTGTGGTGGAGGCTCCTTCTTTGGAAGCTTTTAAACAGGGGCTGGATGGCCATCTGTCAGGGGTGATTTGAATGCAATATTCCTGCTTCTTGGCAGAATGGGGTTGGACTGGATGGCCCATGAGGTCTCTTCCAACTCTTGGATTCTATGATTCTATGATTCTATTGAACTATGCAGCTCATACTTCAAATGTAGTTGGTATACTCCAGAAACTTGGTTGTTTTTGTGGCTGCCATAAACTTATTTTATCGTATTTATCGTGCAGGACTTTGTTTATTGCAGCCTCAAGAATACTATGTTTTGGAATGACTTTTGAAGCGTACACTTTGGCTTTAGCCTTTTACGTATACCTTGGAAATAATTTTGCACTCCTTAACTTGGAATGTATTGTCACATCAGTTAATGAAAACCCAGTCAAGAAGGAGACTCACCCATCTGCGTTGCTTACCTCGGCATGAATCCTTCAGTTCCTCGTATCCGGCGCTGCAGACACACTTCCCAATGGGCACCAGCCATTCTCCTTCTGCACTGCAGTACATTTTGGGGGTGTCCCTCTCCTCTGCGTTCCTGACGCACTCACCACGGACCTCCACAAGAGATGAGGAGTCGGCTCCAGTGATGGCCTCAGAAAATGAGGCCAGATTCCTCACCATGGCCGGGCACTTCTTATAGTAAACACGGACAGAGACGACGGCAATGCATGCACCAATATCTTGGAAGGCCAAGTAGAAGCCTCGCTTGGTCAGTGGCCCGACGCCCCGCACCTCAGTGTTGAGCTTGAGCCGCCGGACACCTAGGTCCACGTTGGTGAAGCTCTCGTCAGCCGCGATGGTGTCAATCTTCACAAACTGGCTCTCGCGGGGAGCGCTGCCCAAGTCCCGGTCAGTCTGGAGGTAGTAGAGGTTGAAAGTCTCCTTACAGGTGCCCAGCACCCCGGGCATGCTATTGCAGTCCCGCAAGGTAAAGCGGATCTCTGCGTAAACCCGGTGCGCCCCGTGCCGCTGCACCCAACTCGTCCGCAGCCAGTTGTTTTGGTTTGGAGACATGACGTTACACACTTGGTAGGTGTGGATCGGGTTGAAAAACTCGTCCATTTCATTGATGGAGTCCCACTGGGAGGAAACAGCAGGGGGAAAGAGTTAGAGCCACAAAATTGGACAGACACCACTTCTAGATTATTTACACCTATGTATTTATTCTATATACACATAGTTGTTTGGGTATGGATTTTCCAATGCAATTCATTAAAATCGTTAGCTTCATGATTTTATAATATCTAATATAATAATATAATAATGTAAATCTGAACTGCTTAATGTAACCACATGCTTTTTAAGTCAATACTCTGAAACAGCTCTGAAGCTTTATTCCTGAATTGTTCCAGTTCTCTCAAATAAACTTTATTGTTTTGCTGTTCACAACATCTGCCTCACGTGTGCCTCTGTGGGTGAAATTTTAAGAGCAGTTTCCTACAGCAAACAGGAGACTAATGGTGACAGCGTGGATTTTAAAGAACAATCTTTAGTATTACCTCAGAAGCACAAGCCTGAGGGCTAAATCCAACACACTCTTGCCTAAGAATACTTCCAGTAATTATTTAAACAAAGTAAGCATTGAGTCATGAGGCTATATGTAAACTGAAGACAATAATGAAGATGGAGCGCCACTCTCAAAACAATCTTCATGGAAAAAATCCAAATCAAGTCCAGTGAAAATGGAGCACTGCTTCTCAAAATAAGTCTTCAAAGGAAAAGTCCAAATGGCATTCAACAGGGGTGCCCGGGTATTTTTGTACCCTGTTTCGGGGAAAGCAATCCCCTTTTCCTTTGAAGACTTATTTTGAGAAGCAGTGCTCCATTTTCACTGGACTTGAGTTGGATTTTTTCCATGAAGATTGTTTTGAGAGTGGCGCTCCATCTTCATTATTGTCTTCAGTTTACATATAGCCTCATGACTCAATGCTTACTTTGTTTATATGACTTTTCTTATTGAATGTATCCCTGAAGCCTATATACAGTGGAATCCTTATCCAGACCTAGAACTGTTACGTTTGAGAGCGGCTGCTCCTTTTGATTTTGCTGTGTACCACTGAATTGAGCTATGTACTGTTGATTTTGGTAAATGGAATACTATATGCTCTTTTGATAATACACGTTGACATTACGCGTAGATTGTTTTGTGTTTGTGCCTTTTCCCTATCCCCAAAGAAGGTATTAAGTAGTTTTGCCTTTTCCCTATCCCCTGTCAGCATTGCCCCATCTTCTCCTCGAAGAGGCCCTATCGCCTCCTTGTTCTTCCTTTTTCTACTGACATAAGAAAAGAAGCCCTTTTTATTGTTTTTAATGTCCCTGGCAAGCCTGAGCTCGTTTTGTGCTTTAGCCTTGCGGACCTTTTCCCTACAGGTGTTGGCTATTTGTTTGAATTCTTCTTTGGTGATTTCTCCCTTTTTCCACTTCTTGTGCATGTCTCTTTTGTGTCTTAGCACAGTTAGAAGTTCTCTGAGCTGCTAGTTCCTTCAACTTGTTATATTTTGGTGGGATTTTATTTTCAAATAAATCCTCTGTTATATATGGCCATGTCCTAGCAGCAGTTGCTTCTATAGGACAAAATGCTGCTAGAACATGGCCATAGAGTCTGGAAAGCACAAAACAACACCCCAGACCCGTATCGTCTTGTTCCTCATTCCCACAGTCTGTTTCAAGTTCATGCCAAGGATCTTCAGCCCTGCTCTGACTTGGCACTGGCCTCGTTTCACATTCTGGGGATGGCTTGCTCTTCATTACCGACAAACACAATCCTTTCACAGCTGCATGAGATTGTGAAGTCAGAGGAAGGAGGGAGGAGATCTCCGTGCGCCTTGCATGCAAGAGCGGCCCTGCAAATAAGAGGAAAGTGCTGGGAAGAGCACTTTGAGGCCAAGGGCTGTGCCAAATGTTCTCCAGAGAGGTTTTTCTGCTTGTTTATAAAGGCAAAAAAAGGCAGGACGAGAGACCCAGAAACGAGCGGCTTTCACGATAGACCACAAAGTTCAGAAAAAGTGGAAAGGGCAGATCAGACTATTAAAACTATGTTTAGCAAATTGGTAAAGGAAAATGGGAAAGATTGGGTAGATAAGTTATTATTATTATTATTATTATTATTATTATTATTATTATTATTACTAGCTGTACCCTGCCACGCGTTGCTGTGGCCTATAGTAAGACTTTTCGAAGTAGAGGTAGATATCTGGACTATTATGAAAGAGAGGTACCTACCTATTCCTTCCCCCTTTTTCTTCCCCTTCCCCTTCCCCTTTCTCTCCTTTCTTCCTTTTCTACCTCTTTCTTTCTTTCATTCCTTCTTTCACTCTTTGGTTTCATCCTTCCTTCTCTCTTTCCTTCATTTTCTCCCCCTTTCGCCACTTCTTCCTGGGTCTCCTTTCTCCCCTCCCTGTTTCCTCCCTTCTTTCACTTTTTATGCTCTTTTCTCCTTCCTTCCTTCCTTCCTTACCTCTTTCCTGCCTTCCTTTCCCTTTTTCTTTCCTTTCTACTTTCTCTTCTTCCTTCCTTCGGTACCTCTTTCTTTCCTTCCTTCTCTCCTTCCTTCTTTCGCTCTCTCCTCTCTTTCCTTCCTTCTCACTTTCCCTTCTTCATTCCTTCCCTTTTTTCCTCCCTCCTTCCTGTTGCTGTGTTGATGTGGAGATTGTCTGGTTTGCCTACTCTGGAACATGCAACATATAATTGTCCTTATTTAGGGGTCCTTTTAAAAAAATCTATGGTACTATATCTGACGTAAACGTGTGTGTGTGTGTATGTATGTGTGTGAATCATATATATTTATCTATATCTATGGCTGGATGGCTCTTTGTCAGGAGGGCTTTATGTTTTCTTACCCTGGTGAAGGGAGTTTGACTTGATGGCCTCAAGGCAGCATTTCTCAACCTTGGGTTTGGGACCCCTGTGGGGGGGGGGTTGTGAGGGTGTGTCAGAAGGGTCACCAAAACCACCGGAAAACACAGTATTTTCTGTTGGTCATGGGGTTCTGTTGGGAAGTTTGGCCCTATTCTGTCGTTGGGGTTCAGAATGCTCTTTGATTGTAGGTGAACTATAAATCCCAGACTACAACTCCCAAATGTCAAGGTCTATTTCCCCCAAACTCCATCTGTGTTCATATTTGGGCATATGGAATATTTGTGCCAAGATTGGTCCAGATCCATCATTGTTTGAGTCCATAGTCTCTGGATGTAGGTGAACGACAACTCCCAAACTCAAGGTAAATGCTCACCAAACCCTTCTAGTGTTTTCTTTTGGTCACGGGAGTCCTGTATGCCCCGGTTGGTTCAATTCTATCATGCTATTATTATTAGCAGAGTTCGAATGGCCATCTGTTGGGAGAGCTTGGATGGTGATCTCGCCCAATTCTATTATTATTATTATTATTATTATTATTATTATTATTATTATTAGCAGAGTTCAAATGGCCGTCTGTTGGGAGAGCTTGGATGGTGATCTCTCCCAATTCTATTATTATTATTATTATTATTAGCAGAGTTCGAATGGCCATCTGTTGGGAGAGCTTGGATGGTGTCTTCCTGCCTGGCAGAAGGACTAGATGGAACTTTTGATCTCTCTCAATTCTATTATTATTATTATTATTATTATTATTATTAGCAGAGTTCGAATGGCCATCTGTTGGGAGAGCTTGGATGGTGATCTCTCCCAATTCTATTATTATTATTATTATTAGCAGAGTTCGAATGGCCATCTGTTGGGAGAGCTTGGATGGTGATCTCTCCCAATTCTATTATTATTATTATTATTATTATTATTATTATTATTATTATTAGCAGAGTTCGAATGGCCATCTGCTGGGAGAGCTTGGATGGTGATCTCTCCCAATTCTATTATTATTATTATTATTATTATTATTATTATTAGCAGAGTTCGAATGGCCATCTGCTGGGAGAGCTTGGATGGTGATCTCTCCCAATTCTATTATTATTATTATTATTATTATTATTATTAGCAGAGTTCGAATGGCCGTCTGTTGGGAGAGCTTGGATAGTGATCTCTCCCAATTCTATTATTATTATTATTATTATTATTATTATTATTATTAGCAGAGTTCGAATGGCCGTCTGTTGGGAGAGCTTGGATGGTGATCTCTCCCAATTCTATTATTATTATTATTATTATTATTATTATTATTATTATTATTAGCAGAGTTCGAATGGCCATCTGTTGGGAGAGCTTGGATGGTGTCTTCCTGCCTGGCAGAAGGACTAGATGGCCCTTTTGATCTTTCCCAATTCTATTAGTATTAATACTAACCATTCCCTGCCAGGCGTTGCTGTGGCTCAGTCTGCTGATCTGGAAAAGAAAGTGTTGGTTTCTAATATATGTGATTTCTTTATGCTTGTGCGTAAACAGTATTTCTTGTTGTTTCTTTGACAATGGTGATGTGGAGATTTATTTATTTAAATGTTTTAAATAAATAAATAAAATAGCATAGTCAAATTTAAGACTAGGACCACGGATAACGGGGTCCGTGCCCGGCGAGCTCAGGCCATCAAAAACTTGTCGGAAGAGAAAGGTTTTACGGGCTTTCCAGAAAGCAAGTAGGTCTCGGATAGTTCGGGTTTCAACTGGCAAGGCATTCCTTAAATAAGGGGCCACAATCAAGAAGTCTCTCTGCCTAGTATGGTAAGTCCGGATGTTGGGGACTTCAAGCAAATTTTGGTCTTCAGACCAGAGTAATCTCTGCGGTTGGCAGGGGGATAAGCGGGCCTTCAGGTACGCCGGCCCCAGACCATATAAGGCCTTAAAGGTTAGTACCAGCACCTTGAAAGTGATCCTGGTACTCAATCGGAAGCCAGTGCAGCTGTTGTAGAATTGGGGTGATACGACACCTCGCCGGCACCCTGGCGAGAAGACGAGCCACAGCATTTTGCACCAGCTTCAGTTTCCGGATCACTGACAAAGGAAGCCTCGAGATGACCGTCGCCTGGATCACCGTAGCCAGGTTGTTCCTAGATAGGAAGGGAGCCAGTCGCCTAGCCTGACGCAGATGGAAAAGCGCAGAGACCTGGGCTTCCATTGTGAGCAGAGGGTCCAATAAGACACCAAGGCTTTTT